AACACCGATTACCTTGCAATAATCCGGTAGCATTGTCGAGCACATCGGTCCGGCACCGCACGTGGCAGCGCGGGACCCTCTCGGCCGCGTCACGCAGGAGTTGGACCAACCTTGTCATGAACACGCAAATGGAGCTTCCTTAGGCCGCTTCGGCCGAGTGCGCCAGCCATACCTCTCGCGAGCCCCTACGACAGGATAGGGCCTACGCGAGGCACAGCTTACCTCCACCTTACGGGAGTTGTCACCTCCCTTCGGTGAGCGTATCCCCGCCGAGCTACTAGTCCACAGTACAAAAGCTACTCGGTTGCAATCGCAGAGGTGGACCAACCGAGGGCGTTTCTCGTTCGTTGTAGCATAGGGGGTACGCGCGGTAATACGTTTGTCGGACCCGCACGCGAACCGACATATTGGGGGGCTGAAGCCCCAAGCGCGGCTCGTCGTTGGTCGACTAGGACGCATCCCACACACAACGCGCACACCACTTTACGAACACAAAAATAAAACACACACATACACACACACACATCGAACAACGCGACAACACTCCAAGTTCCTTTAGTAGCCGTCTCATAACTTCCCGATGCGGAAATCGAATAGGCGTCGCGCGGGAGACTCAGTATAAAACCGCGCGGACGGAGGGCTAACTCATATCAACTCGCAATGCAGCGTACGCATGCAGTCGCAATGATGGCGTACTATGTACTACCCTTACTCATGTGGTCCCCGTTAATCGTGAGGGTCGCATTCGACACTCAAGTGTCGACTGACACGCGCCTTGAGGGTTAATCTTTCAACACTGGACAACCGTCATGGGCGGTTGAAGACCACACCCTCTTCTGCACCCTGTGCAGAGGGGTTGAGTAGACAGCTCTAAGCTGTCGTGGCGGTCGAACATCAAGGGGTTTGACTTTGACGGCTGCCACGGACTATAACGTCCAACGATAAAAAGCTCTAAAAAGCAACGGATGAAAAGGGATCTCCCTTTTTCTCTATACACATGTAATCGCAGGCAGTCACCTCCAGAGTTCGAACCACAACCATACCTGCAATCACATCAAAGATTCAACCAGAAGTCCACGCACTACACTTGGTCAACTTCAACCATTCCTCGCACCCATACCCCTCGCTTTAGCCATACAAGCCTCACTCGTGCAACTCTTAAATAAATACTCAGTACTTTTGTTGGATGACCATTCAATAAAGTCCGGGTGAAAACACCACAAAACAATTTAAATCTCAAGGCTAAAGCCTTTAGGTTGAGTGGCAGGAGTGAATTGGAGTTGAATCGTAAACCGACGAATCGGCAACCGACCTGTTATCAGTGATAACAGAAGATGATCCTCGTAGGATCAAGATGAATCTAGTCCAAATCCTGAATCAACACGATCAAGAGGACCTGTAACACAAAACAGGTCAATACCCACGGCTAAATCTATAAGTTCATGGAGAATAATCCCCATATCACGATCCCACTCAAAATATCCTAATTAACTAAGTCTAAGTCTACCCTCAAGCAGTGCCCAAAGCAAGGGTAGACCAATGGCAGAATCTCCCTTATTCAGGGTGAATCGCCAGAATCGCCACCTGTTAAAATATAACATATCTTCTCTAAATTAGGAAAATTTCGGCAGCGCTTCCCGTAGGAAAAGTGTCTTTTCAGAATTTATATCACCCCGATTATGAAACCAAAAATAGTCTTTGACTTTCTAATGTCCAATTTTTTCTAACTCCCTGAATTAGCAAAAATTTGGGCAGCACTCCCTTTAGAAAATGAGAGTTTTCATATTTTTACTAAGTTATATACGAACCTTACACAAGTTGAACTTTGAAAAGTCAAAAATTTGACTAACTCCTTAGATTTGCAGAAATTTCGGCAGCGCTTCCCGTAGGGAAAGTAGCTTACAAAGATTTATACAAAGCCAAGTATAACAAAAGATCTCAGAAAATGCGAGAGCTGATCTAAGTAAAAAAAAAAACTTAGCCTAGAAAATGCAGAAATTGAGCTAACTCCTATCGCTCTAGCATGTGGCGAGTCTCTAAAACAGCTACCTGTCAACTAAAACTCAGACCAAGTAGTAACTTCACTCAGCCACATGCAGGCCAAACCACAAAGGTAAGTACTCTCGTCATCCCCAAGTCAATTTCGCAAACAATAGTTCATAGTCTTTCAATTATTTAACCCTTTACTCCCGGCTTACATAGGGCATTGGGATTGACCATTCATCTTAGAAACAATGTCAGCCCTCTGCCTTAATTATACACGAACAGGCTGCACAACTACTTTTCTCTTCATTGGGGCACATGATTAAGTCATTCATCTTAGAACCCATGCTTAGTCGCCCTGAACTGTTTAAGTAGCCAAATTATATATACTTCTCTGAACTTATTCTTTAAGAATGAGCGTAGGATTGAGTAATTCATCTTAGAAACAATACTAAGTCGACCCAAGTTACCTTCACTTATAACTCTTGATTATACTCTCTTCGCTTGTGATAAGGCTATAGTCCGGCCATTCATCTTAGAAACAATGTCTGACTAGCCTTGTTCATATATAAGTGTATATATATACAACATTATAGAGAATCATATTCCTTCGTTCTCATTATGGTCCTGAGGCCTCAGACTTAGACCATTTATCTTAGAAACAATGTTTAGTCCTCTGGCCCTGAATCCTCCCTCAGAATAAAAACAATGAAGGATAGATGAGTCATTCATCTTAGAAACAATGCTCAGCTCCCCCTTTTCAGCACACACAAAAAAGCATAGTACCCTGGGTCTGACCAAGAGACTGTTCAGAAACCACCTAAGTAAAACAGCGGTCAGACCATTCAACTCAAAAACAATGTCTAACCCTTAAAATTCAAGCAAGCAATACCCCTCAGAAGTAAGTAGCCAGGTCATTCATCTTAGAAACAAACGGTGTTTTCGTTCAAAGTGGAATTGTTTTCATGTTCACTTTTTATTTTAATTGTAAAATGACACAAAGAACTGAGGGAAAAATAAGCAAACAACGAGAAAACAATGGTTATACATGAAAGTTGTTGAAGGAAATTAAACACAAATTTTCACCTCGAATGTTCACACGTACACAAGTCGCAAACATGTCATTCAAGGATTGACTATCCACTCTGTAAACGTGTCACTCAGTAAAATACGCCAACCTCATCAAAAACTGATGAGAAGTCTAGGAAATGTCATTATACATTGTTGGCAATCCACTCTGTAAACATGTCACTCAGTAAAACACGCCAACCTCATCAAAAACTGATGAGAAGTCTTAGACTAGGAAATGTCATTATACATTGTGAACATATTTTCAAAATTGCCTACAATACACATTTTCACCCGGAATGTTCACACTAAGTAAACATGTCAAGCTCATTTTTCCAAACCTAGAACCTGAATTCTCATTGACTTTCCTATCTAACCATGGACAAAATGTCAAATGTTATTCTAAGTCTTGTATCAGGAATACTATCTTGTGAGAAACCGAACGGAGGGAAGTGACCTTTTGAAAGCAAAGATGCAAATCCTAACATAAAAACACCACAATTAAAAGAATCCTCTTGAGCAGGAATCCCATCTACTGATGTATCAAAGTAAGATGTAGGCTCCTCCACATGATATTTTTTCCGAAGATTTTGTCGTTGAAACTCCGCTTTGAAAAAACCTGCCAAAACTTCGAGGGCTGGACCGTAGTCAACACGATGGAGAGAGTCTACGAGACAGAATTTACACGCAGAGTGATCTATACTGACATAAGCTAAGACCCAATGATTTTCGAAATGGAGAGGGATAATTACCAAATCAAAATTGAAAAGATTTATGTCCTTCACCCATGTCGTCCCTTCGGAGTATGCGATTTCAGCGGACTGAGCTTTTGACAATCTGGGAAAGAAAAAAGAATTTAGAATATGCACAGATGGAATGCTACAAAAACTTTCATCTTTTGTCACTTCTGCACATGTCGAATCCACCTTCTTGATGTAGTCATTGGTGATATGAACGGCTAGCAGGTACAAATTGACGACTTCATCATTTAACCATTCTCCATCTTTGGCGGCGAGCATGACGTCTTTCTTTTCCACCTTCCACCTTCCACCTCCCCTTGTAATCGACAATGCCGTATTCTTCATTCTCTTCAGTGCTGCCGGTAACCATTTCAAGATACTCCTTTTCTTCTACAGTAAGGCGTACTGTTGCTAAAGGAATATGGAACGAAGGGTCATGCACTGCATACAAACACACAAATAAACAACAATAGAGCGACTAAGACTTCACACAAAAATAAGTGATAGACTACATAGATATGAGCTCATGTTGTTGGTTGTCTATCTGTTCCGTCATTAGTGCTGCTATCCATAACAGATAAACTGCAACCCACGCGATGCAATTCCTTCCCTTCTGTGAGGCTTATTCCAACAGCTTTAAACATCCTTAAGGCAGTTGGCTTCACAGATGGAAATGTCATGGGTGTACGACTTCTTCTCTCATTTTTTGGCAATAATGGCAAAGTTGACAAAGCTTGCAAGCCACGACGAATGATATTCTTCTCTCTCTTCCTTTGCGAATGTACATGTGTCGTTTTCCACAGTTCTTTTCGTCGCCCTGCATGATTGACAAAATAAAACATAACGAGTTACAAGTCCGACTTTCCGTTGTTGAAACTGACTCATGAATACCAATACAAAATATATGGCAATTGCACTAAGTCGTCATACGAAACAATTGCAGTATTCTCTTCAGAAAACGCACAGTTTCAAAGCTAGGTAAATAAACAATACATCTGAGGGATCGATACAATGGGAAATGAGTGCATGTGATGTACCCACTAATCCGCATATAGTATTAGATATTGCTCCTAAGATAAGAAAGTGCTCACCTCGATGACTAACTCTCAGTTTTTYTTCAACACGACCTTYTGTCACACCTTYCATATGCAATGGCGCAATAGGAGATTCCTCGATAGCTATCATGAGGTTAGCAGACTGTGGTGTTTGAGGTTGTTCAAGCGTTTGTTGAGGTTGTACAAGTACAGCCTGCTCCGGTGTACTTAGTACTATATGTCCTTCATCCTCTTCGATGTCCTATACATGGAGAGTTTCTTCCTTCTTGACGCCCTCAAAAGTGTCATGGAAAGTGCCTCTTACTTCGGCCTTCATCGTTGACGACGGCATCTGCAATTCCGTGAGTGTACCAGTAATATCCACTTCCATCGCGACACTGTCGCCCACTAGTATTGTAGTCGCCCAAACTTGGTCAGCTGTACTCACGCCCTCGCAACTCACACCGCCTTTTCGTCCTGAAGTTTTGGCACTCACACCGGCAATCGATCCCCGTTGTTGTGTCGGGTTGGACTCAACCACGAGTTTCTCCGCTCGGTCAAGCTGGGAGCGCTCCAATAGTGGACCCCTGTCGTGTTCGGCTCGACCGTGTGACCCTTCGACAGGTGAAACAACGTCGATTGGTCTCAAAGCCTTGCCACTCGTACCGGCGATTGATCCCGTTCCCACTGTCGGGTTCGACTCGACAGTGACCGCTGGACGAGTGTCGTGTTCGACATGACCACGTAACTCTTTGACAGGTGAAGCACCGCCGATAGTTGTACTGCCCCCCTGTGGTCCCGAAGCCTTGCCAGTCGCACCGGCCATTGTTTCCAATCGAGGTCCCGAAGCCTTGCCAGTCGCACCATCGATCGTTTTCGATCCCACTGTCGAGTTCGACTCGACCGTATGACTCTTCGCTCGGTCAAGCCGGGAACGCTCCAATGTGAGGCCACTGTCGTGTTCGACTCGACCGTGGGACCCTTCGACAGTTGAACCACCACTCGATCCTGATCCCTTGCGCTCTGTTTCTTGAGGCCCCTGAGACCCTTCGACAGTTGAACCACCGCCGCTTGGTCCTGTAGGTTTGCCATGCTCACCGCCGCTTGGTCCGGCAGTGTGAGAAGCTTTATTTAGCCTTGGAGCCAGTACGACACTTCCCGTGAGAATGTCTCTCAACAGCTGCAGCCTTTCACGCCTCCCCAACGTAGACATAGCCTTCCGTGATCTGACATCCGGATCGCGCACAGCCACGAGGTAACCAGGTCCTCTAGTACCCTGAATCCAGTGCACTGGAACCCTGACACCTCCTATCTTTTTCTCCGCAGCTAGAGAATTGTTAAGAAAACAGTAACCAAATGATCACTCCCGGTCGCGCGCAGAGCCATCGCCTCAAACTCTCTGTAATCCTTATTTTTGACGCCAGCAGCAGATCCGCCTATAGCTTCTGGACGACCGGCTGCTTGCCACAACTTTCGTATGTTCTTAATGATAGCAATCTGGTGCGGAGGAATATTCCATTTGTCCTTCGCATTTTGGAAAGTGCTCAAGGTGCAATAATTTTTCATGCTCCTATCCGGATAGTAAACAGGCCTTGCAATCCAGCAATCCAAACGGAGCTCACGGGCGATGTCAGGGCGTTCTTGAGAACATTTCCTCGCCGCTGCAACATTGCGTTGACCACTGAGAGAGTACCAGTAGTACTTGCGCACGGATTGGAGATCGAATTCGCAGGGCGTCACTCTTCTCGCCCTCACATTCGTACAGGAAGCGTCAGTATGCATTGTATCATGTGGCCCAATCAACAGAAGGACAGACTTCTCGTACAATGCATATACATTCACCCCGGCTGCCCCGGTCGTTCTCTCTCTGATAGCTGCCTCACTCGGCTCAACCATTGTTTTGTAAAGGTTATCAATAAGCTCCCGATCGAGGAAGCGTTGATTATATCTGAATTCCTCATCAGGGATATCCAGAATTTTGTCCAACTTGACATAAATGAACTGCATTTCCGGCCTCTGGTTACCATTCTCGTCGAACTCAAGGAAGAAGCCTTTGCTCAGATGACCAGAAGAATTAGAATTCTCATGCGGCAGAATCTGCAAACCGGGCGGTCTGGTGACTGTCTTGCCCACAGCGTCTTCATTCGACTGTGGCTGGTCCGGTGGAAAAACGGAAGTTTTTTCCATCACACCTCCCTTCGTTGCTTTTTTCCTAGGCTGCCGTTTTTTCTTCATGGCCTCCTCAGCCTCCCGCGTACGTTGGACGACCTCCTCAACTGCCAGCATTTTCAACTTGCGTTTGCCCTCCTCTTGCTTGGCTACCCTCCCCTGCTTGGTTTTCTTACTGTCCATAGCACTTCTCCTCTCTTGCCTCATCTTCCTTTTCTTCTCAACTAGTCGTACTGCATCGTCATGCGCCGGCTCGACCCCAACTTCGCGGTGCATTTCCCCGCGCCCTGGATCCGCTTCCCAATGCCCATGACCCGGCGCGAGCAGCTGCGTTCGTTTGGAACCCCGATGCACATCTGCATACCTTCCCTCGCCGGTCATTTCCTCTTCTTGCCCTTTGTCCTCATACTCAACCCCTAGACGACCCTCCAACTCGCCCGACCCACCCCTCTCGCTGATTGTTTGTTCACTCTCTACTTCCTCTTTTTCGCCACCCTCCTCACATTCTTCGCGTTCTTCATCGCGCTCCCATTCTTCTTTGTTGTTCTCCTCGTCGTCATCTCCAAAATAATGGGACCCAGCAGGAATGGCCAACTCATAGCGCGGCGGGCGGACCAAGGAAACGGGTTCCTTGGTTGATGTTGGTCTACGCTTCACAGGGGCTGACGGCACGATTTGGCCGTGACACAGACCTTTCTCCCCGATCTGCCCTGATTTCGGAACTCGTGTTGCAGCAACCATAGTCCGAATTGATGGCGGAGGGCGGGCACCTATAATGATCGGTTTCGACGACGGACCCGCCTCCAAAGACGACGAAAGCACGCTTTTCGGTTCAGATATGCGGTCGGAAGCATGCACCACCGGCTCATGCCCTACGACCACATGTCTGTCGAAGAATGCGAAAACCGATCAAAGGTCCGGCAACGTCAATTTCTCCGTCCCAGGCGGATTGAAAATGTCATAAAGCCTTTTGCCGTACCCAGCGTGTTTGGCCCAACGAAGAGCAACACGTTTGACATTCGCAATCCGCTTACCTCTAGCGTTAACGACCATCGTCAACTCCAACATGGCGAACTGTGAATTTCCTCCACTCCACTTCACCACACCGCCAATCGGAACAATGTTATCTTTGATCACCACGTACAAAACCAGCCCACCCGAGGGTTCCCCTATTCCACCCACCCAGTCCAACATCCAGCACTTGTCTTTGTGGTCGACGAGAGGCACCTCGTCTCCCACACCTGCAGCGGACGTGTCACCAGACCTTTTACGCCTCGGCACAACGTCCATCGCAGATTTCCCCTGCCGACCAGTAGCCTCCTTTTCTCGACCCGCAGCCCCACCACTCAACAGCGCAGCCGAATCCGGTCCCGAACCTCGAACATGGGCGGAAGGAGTGCCCGTAGAAGGTGCATCCCGCAGCACCGGGGTTCGGTGGCCCTTAGACCCCGATGTGTCGCCAGCCCCCACGCCAGCCGTCGGTGTCCCCTTCGGTTTTTTCGGAGACTGCTCCACGCTCCCGGAACCAGCACTAGTACATCGTTTGCTTGGCTTCCCCTCGGGATCCATGCCGAGCAGCTAGTCGCAACTGAAGAAAACGCACAAGCGAGAAAGCAGTCATTGCTTTGCCAACGTGCAAGCACCACAGCACTTGAGAACAAGAGTAGATAGGAACGCAGAGCAACTGAAGCGGGCCGCAGCCCGCCAGCTCGTCGTCGTTTCACTGTCGTGTCGAACTCGACTGCCGTGCCACGACGTCCTCCAGTACTGTCGAATCCGACACGAGAGCGACATTGCGGTGTCGTCGTGTCACTGTCGTGTCGAACCCGACGGCACTGCGTGGGCTGACCAACCGCCGTGTTGGACACGACAGCTACACTGTTGTCTGTCGTGCGACAGTCGACCAAGCGGCCCTTGATGCACCGTTTGGTCGACAGATAACAGTGTCCATGTCGTGTTCGACACGATGGTCGCCAAACGGTGCCTGTAGGGAAGCTGACCGTCGTGTTCGACACGATAGCGACACTGTCGTCTGCCGTTCGACAGTCGACCAAGTGCCCCTTCGGGCACCGTCTCGAATCCGACACGAGAGCGACATTGGGGTGTCGTCGTGTCACTGTCGTGTCGAACCCGACGGCACTACGCGGGTTGACCAACCGTCGTGTCGTACACGACAGCTACACTGTTGTCTGCCGTGCGACAGTCGACCAATCGGCCCTTCATGCACCGTCTGGTCGCCAGATAACAGTGTCCATGTCGTGTTCGACACGATGGTCGCCAAACGGTGCTTGTAGTGGAGCTGACCGTCGTGTTCGACACGACAGCGACAGTGTCGTCCGCCGTTCGACAGTCGACCAAGGGGCACCGTCTGGCGACCATGGTGTCGAACACGACAGCGACACTGGGATGTGTTGTGCGACATTTGCCGGGTTCGACACAATGCTCGGCGGACGGTGCCTGAAGGGGCACTTGATCAGGAGAACACAAGACAACAGATCGCAGGCACTGGTTAATACGGAGAAACATTGACTGCAGAATGTTTGTCCATGCAAAACATCAGAACAATGAGTTTTTGTTTCCCGAAAGGAAACATAACATGAGAACAACAATCAAACACTCGGCCGACAGCGATGTTTCAGTGTCCAAAGCCGACCAAAAACACGTCATCATTCCCGGGTTTCAATGAATCGGAAAACAATATGAGGACAACAACGTCAAACGTGTGTACTTTTGGCCACTGAACACATGACGAGAACAACTAGCAGATACCGCATATTGTTATCGAATAACACATTGAGAACAACAATCGAGAACAACTAGCAGATACTGCGTATTGTTATCGAAATAACACATTGAGAACAACAATCACAATGCGAGTTCCACAAGGCTGTTTATTGACTACATCGTGTTGAATACGATTGTTGTCGTGTCCGACAAGCTGGTCATCGTGTTGAACACGACGGTCGTCGTGTCGAACACGATTGTCGTCGTGTCAGACACGGTCATCGTCGTGTCGAACATCATGGTCGTCGTGTCGAACACGATCCTTGTCGTGTCGAACACGCTGGTTGTCGTGTCGAACACGATCGTCGTCGGGTCGAACACAATCGCCATCGTGTCGAACACGGCCGTCATCGTGTCGCACACGACCGCCATCGTATCGAGCACGGCCGTCTTCTTGTCCGACATGCTCGTCGACGACGGTCGTCGTGTCCGGCACGATGGTCGTCGGGTCTGACACAGTGGCCGTCATGTTGAGCACGCTGGTCGTCGTGTCCGCCACAGTCAAACGTGGTCTTGGTCGTGTCGAACGGCATCACGGTCGTGTCGAACACCCTGCTCTTTTTCGCCTCGACCCCCACCTATGTTTCGACTTGCGCAGAGTTTAGTGCGAGTTGCGCCAGCAAAACACAGTGCACGGGTGATTGCCTTTTGTCTCTTGTAGCACTGACTGCATGTTGCGAGATTGCGCCACGACCCCCACCTTGTAATATACAATGGAGCTACTGTCGTGTTGGGCGCGACATTGGCGTCGCCGCAGTCGTTTGCCTTCTCAGCCTGGCTATCTAGAAACACGTCGTGCGCCGTATAAAGAACTCTGAGTGAATTTTGCTTCGAATCCTCGGAGTCTAGTACCCGAGAATCAAGACGGGGGACCCTTCCGTGTTGGGCGAGGCGGTCGCGTTGCCACGATGGTTTTCCTGCTCACTCGTGGCAGTTTTCCTGCCCGCTCTGCGTGGGTGGTGAGTGCCACGCGTGCCGGAAATCAAGATGGGGGACTTTCCGTGTTGGG